TGAAGTGAGATATATTTTTTTAAAATGTAGATTGAATACAAGAATGTTTACACTGGCCAATATATATGCACCAAATCAGGGCCATGCAAAATTGCTCACAACATTGGGTTGATTGGAAAATGTCATGGAAGGGGTAATGATTATAGGGTTAGATTTCAATAAAACACTAATACCGATACTAGATACCCCTAAAGGTAACCGTTATATACACTATATTGCCAAAAGTATTGGGACGCCTGCCTTTACACGCACATGAACTTTAATGGCATCCCAGTCTTAGTCCGTAGGGTTCTATATTGAGTTGGCCCACCCTTTGCAGCTTTAACAGCTTCAACTCTTCTGGGTAGGATGTATACAAGGTTTAGGAGTGTGTCTATGTTAATGTTTGACCATTTGTGAGGTCAGGTACTGATGTTGGACGAGAAGCTCTGGCTCGCAGTCTCCGCTCTAATTCATCCCAAAGGTGTTCTATCGGGTTGAGGTCAGGCCAAGTCAAGTTCCTCCACCCCAAACTCGTTCATCCATGTCTTTATGGACCTTGCTTTGTGCACAGTCATGTTGGAACAGGAAAGGGCCATCCCCAAACTGTTCCCACAAAGTTGGGAGCATGAAATTGTCCAAAATGTCTTGATATGCTGATGCCTTAAGAGTTCGCTTCCCTGCCAAGCCCAACCTCGGAAAAGCAACCCCACACCGTAATCCCTCCTCCATCAAATTTTACACTTGGCACAATGCAGTCAGGCAAGTACTGTTCTCCTGGCAACCACCAACCCAGACATGTCCATCGGATTGACAGACAAAGAAGCGTGATTCGTCACTCCCAAAAACACGTCTCCACTTCTCTAGAGTCCAGTGGTAGCGTGCTGTACACCACTGCATCCAACGCTTTGCATTGCACTTTGTGATGTAAGGCTTGGATGCAGCTGTTCGGCCATCGAAGCCCATTCCATGGAGCTCTTTACACACTATTGTTGTGCCAATCTGAAGGCCACATGAAGTTTGGAGGTCTGTAGCTATTGACTCTGCAGACAGTTGGCGACTTCTGAGCATTATGTACTTTAGCATGCACTGACCCCGCTCTGTCATTTTACATGGCCTACCACTTTGTGCCTGAGTTGATGTTGTTCCCAGTTGCTTCCACTTTGTTATATACCACTAACAGTTGACCACAGAATATGTAGTAGCAAGGAAATTTAACGGAACACCTGAGTCCAATGATTTGGAGGGTGTCCCAATACTTTTGGTAATCTAGTGTGTATATATATATATATATATCATTAATATATTATATTAATATGAAATGTACAAAAAATGCGTAACGTTTACCAACAAGGGGAGGGGGAAGGAAATTCCCAAGTAGGCTATTAGCTGATACTAGTAATTATGGACTGGTATCAATATTAACAGGTATTATGGATAATAATTAAGGATTAGTTAACAACTAAACACATGATAGATTTTCTTATATATTAAATTATTTATTCAATGACGCATGCATAAGCGTGTGTGTGCACATATATGTATATTTGGTGCAATACGCCAATATGTAAAGATTATGTAATTAATCCAATACACACACGCATATTTCAACAAACACACTAATTTTGCATTCCACGTGCTTGAAGTTATTAAAGAAAATATGTATATCCCACATATTTCATCCATCCATAATCTCAAAAGAGTCAGTCATTTAACCATCCATAATCTACAAGGATGAAGCAATTTCTATTGTTTCATTGAGTCCTGCTGGTGTTTGACTATTTAATGTAAAAATCCAGACACTCTCCCTAGCACATATTTTTTTAATTTAATTCCTTCGTCACCCAAAGGGGAATGGCTTCTATACCAAAGGCTCTTAGGCCCTCCGTACAGACATTGTGGCATGTGAGAAAATGTTTTCGGTACAGAGTGATTGTCTACTTTGATGATGTTACGTTTATGTTCCCCAGACCTAACTCTGAACGCCCTGATAGTTCTTCCTATATACAACTTGCCACATGGACAGATCAAACCATACTGCAAATATCCTTTTTTCGATGCCACATAAAGTGACATAGACCACAATTTGGTACGCTACATCTGTTTGGCTTTTTGGCCAAATAGCCCTTGTCCAGGAAATTTGCAGTACCCATGACCAAGTGTTCCCCATCCAACAATTAATTGTGGAATAAAGTACGTAATTTATGGTTTAATCTGTCCATGTGGTAAGTTGTATATAGGAAGAACAATCAGGGCGTTCAGAGTGTTTATAATAATTTATGGATAGTTTTGATATTTATTTTATACAATCTTGCAGACTAGGCACGCTGCATCTGCGGCTGTGGGTGAAGGTGCTCGGTCTTTGTGGGCAGTGTGTGGGAGGCGGAGCGGACAGGCGCCGGGTAGTCAGATCAGTGAGGGGATGGGGATACCCTGGGTGAATGTTGCTGGAGAGTGACACTGAATGCAGGAAGCATGATTGTATAAAATAAATTATATATTATGTTAACAACTATCCATGTATTATACATCACTTCCTGCATTCGGGGACTGAGATAGTATTCCGTAGTAATGATGATCTGCACTGTTTATATTTCAATCTGCTGCTGGTGAGAGGGGTGGGGCAACTCAATCGTAATTTCTGGATCCTGATTGGTCCCACTCCACCCAATATCGTCTTTGGCTGTCAGGAATCTGAATCTGGTTGCAGTCTAGTGTTAGTCGGCTAGCATACCCCATGCACTAGGTTCTGATGAAAAGGGCGTGCCCCAGGAAACGTGTCAACCTTCGCATTCACAGTTGATGTCGGCGTCTGTGTAAACTCCGACTGAGCAGTGTGGCAATTTGTTTGGATTTGTTACCAATCATCATTTTGTCCCTGGAATCAATTGATGTGTTTAATACCGCTACACTTGTGAGTAGCCCTTTGTTTTTAAGATATTAATAAATCATAATCAGTACTGCACAGGGTGGGCGCTCTGTGTTTTTTTGCAAGAAATTTACTGCATTTAGTGTAATGTAATGTAACAGATTATGTGGATTGGAGCAACATTCACCATATTTATTCACAGAGAATGTTTGTACAAGTCATTCTGAATTGAGAAAGCTGTTTGGATGACCAGTGAAACATCTTCAAGAAAAATACAGCAAGTCCAGTTGACCTTGACTTATTTTTTAGAGATATTCATTTAGGTTAGAAGTGACATCTAGTGGTCAAGAATGTACATTGCAGCAGATGTTACTAGAAAGATAAGGAAGAGGATAAATAGATGTACACAGGAGGCAGTGTTATGCGTCCCACACCCTTTGAGAAAGTCACATGATGAAACGCGTCAGTGCGGGGCTTAACACTGCTTCTTGGAGGATAAAGGCTGCTGTAAGGAGTCTGCCAAGCCTGATTGTATCCATTGTTTGTAAGTTAAATTTGTTTACCTAATAAATTGCTTTTTGGAGATGTTGAGAAATGAAATACTTTTATTCTTCTGTTTGAGCTATATGATGTAAGTTCAAGGACGAGTGGATATAATTATTGATCTGGCTGCCAATGATAAGGAGACAAACTGCGGACCGAACGGAGTAAGAGAGCAGTAGAAGCCAACAACTGATCCTAATAGAAAGCAGATGATGTTTCTGTAAGCATGCACGATTACAAATAGTATCTGGTGAATGCATTATAAAGCAATAAGGAGCACAGTCACATTCCCTAGGAGCAAGAGCGCACCATCACATAGAATAAGCACGGTGTATCGTGGGGATTTGAAGTCTTTCTTTACTTATTGGACTATTAATTACAGCTTGCACCCAGTGTTTGAAGCACATAAATACTCAATTTTATATACGGTTATATGGTTGATTGATTAATGCGATTTATATTGGTTGATTACTACAATAATCACAGATCAAATAAGAGTCACTTTGCACTTGATACACTGACACTTTATTGGTATTAAGGATATTTAAATATTGGCACCTAATTTATCATATATGAAAGAAAGAAATTGAAAAAGTGGTGTTTAGCACATAATCTTGTAACACAGGCACAGCGTAACACAGATGATCTAAATTACAATTGGAAGTGCATACACTTTTGTGAATGTTGCAGCTTGCTACGGTAGAAATTTAGCATACACTAGTTTTACATGGTAGTGCGGTTCAATTGTTCTTAAAATGCTTTACTTGTATGAAGTTATCTCAAGATGTGATAACAGTGGTGAAATAGGACATGGCAATTTCTTTACAGTCTTTTTCTGTTATATTGGTAATATTTATTTGCCATTTAAATCTAATTGCAGACATCCTTAGAACTTTTGGTTTGCTGTAGCATCCAGTAATATTTATAGCAACCAGTTTATTATGGTTTGATGACAATAACAACTATTCAGTTGTGGAATTTTAAAAGTACATTTCATTCAATCAACACTAATAGGATGTCTGAGTTACAAGCATTTATAACTGTGGTTTGTTTTGTTTTTTCCCCCTGACTTTTCTGTGTAAGATAGAAAATGTTTTAAACATGCTTTCAAACAACACAAGAAAGGAAATCAAATGTAATTTCATTGAGCAGCAACACACACAGCAAAAAATGGAAGGTTCTAACCATTCCTAAGGCCTCACTAGATAACTTTCCCTCACTTTCCACTGACACTTATTACCAAAAGGAAAGTCAAAGAAAATCTCAGTTATAAGGAATACTGAAACCAATTTAAAAAAAAACCAAACATAAATGGGGGAATTTATCAACTTTTATCAATTTATCAACTGGAGCAGACACCATCTGGAGCAGCTGTGCATGCCCTTCACAGAGTTTCTATCCCTTCTCCACGCTATCAAAAATTAAAAAACATTTGGACTAAAGTTGGGTTATATACTGTATATAATAAAGTAATGTATTCTATTACAATCTACTTGAGATATATATATTTTTTGTTATAGTCAACATTTGCATTAATAAATAAAATTATGCCACAATGCAATGAAACAACGAGCATCTGACAACCATAAAAAAAAACTAACATACTTACGTTTTGGAAAGAAATTTGTTGCATTCCAGTATCGCTACCTCCACATAGCTGGGAATTGTATGTGTTAAGTGCAGTAATCAGAATATTCATACATAGACAACATTCAGTTTGGACAACAATAACACATTAAACCATTTGTAATCAAATTCGTACTCCAACCTAAAAATTTGTTTATGACATAGCAACCTACAACCTGTTCAGGAGGGACAGGTGTGGGAGAAGGGGGGGTTGCATTTATGTTAAAGATAATCTTAAATATGCACATACGGGACGATATCAAGTCAAATAGTGGAGATGACGTGGAACCTTTGTGGTTAGAACTGGATAGGACGGACGCTAGCCGTAAACTTATTGTGGGTGTTTGTTATAAACCTCCAAATATAGGGGAGGAGTCTCATCTACACTCCCAAATAGAAACAGCTGGGAAGCAGGGTAATGTTGTCGTGATGGGCGACTTACATTATCCAGACATAAATTGGGCAAATGGAACCTCCCATTCGACAAAGGCGGCCCGTTTTCTAAACATATTGCAAGACAATTTCATGGATCAGATGGTTGATGTTCCAACTAGGAAAAATGCCATCCTGGATTTAGTCATTACTAATAATTCAGAGGTAATTGACGATATTGCAATTGGGGAGACACTGGGTAATAGTGATCACAATGTGATTACTTTCAATATTGGGTACAGGAAAGGGAAGTGGGCTGGTTGGACAAGAACCCTAAACTTCAGAAAGGCCAACTTTGATAAGCTATGCCAGTTAGTGGGTGACATCTCATGGGAAAATGTATTTCTCAAACTGAGCACTAACCAGAAGTGGGATTGTTTTAAGAACACATTACAACAAGCGATTAACAAGTGTATACCATTGGGTAACAAAGGTAAAAGATCAAAAACTAAGCCTGTATGGAAAAATAGAACAGTGAAGCAACACATCAAGGACAAGAGAGTGGCATTTAGAAAATATAAGATGGAGGGTACGGCATTGGTGTTCCATAACTACAAAGAATGTAATAATAGATGTAAAAAGTAATTCGGGAATCTAAAATAGAGTGCGAAAAACATATAGGGGTTGATTCACTAAGCCTATCAACACACCCTGAACACGCCATGCAAAAACACACCGACTGTGTGCGCGTGCGCGCATATACGCTTGGCGCGGAAGCATGTGCAGAAGCGTGATTCATGGCATGTTTATGTGCAGATGCTTGATAAATATCACAAACGCGCGCACATGGCGTATTTCATTTCCAAGGATTCAATGGGGATGTGCAACAACTATGAGCATACTTCACTTGAGGGAAGCCCAGTGGTTTAGGGGTTAGAGCTACTGCCCCACAACACCCATGTCCCCAGTTCAAATCCTGCCTCAAGTAAGTTGCATATATCCACTTACAGTAATGCACATATCCACCCAAATATCAGAACTGCTGAATCTACACACAAAAAAAAAACATACTAGTACATATATGCCTACACTACAAATCGAAATATGTACATTACTTATATGCTGCTGTGACTGGGTTCAGAATGGTACATATTCACATGCATAACATATTGCGCGTAGATATTCGCACCCTGTGCTGAGACTCTTGCGCGTTTATTGCGCTCATATCCAATCAAACCAAAAAATGGCGTGGGGTTCCCCCCCAATTCATACCAGGCCCTCTAGGTCTGCTAGGAGGGACCCGCCAGCAGTAAAAATACCAGAAAAAGTGCGTGGGGTTCCGCCCCAAAACCATATCAGACCCTTCAGGGGGGGAAACGTGCGGTCCCCCTTAACAGTCCTACCAGACCCCTGATCCGAGCACTGGCAGGGCAGGAAAGGGGGGGGACGATTGAGCGCCCCCCCTTCCTGCGACTTACCAGGCCACGTGCCCTCGGCATTGGGAGGGTGTCCCCGTGCCGATGGGGACAAGGGCCTCTTCCTCACAACCCTGACCCGGTGGTTGTGGGGGTCTGCGGGCAAGGGGGCTTATTTGCATTGTGGTACCCCTTTAAATAAGGGGACACTCAGATGCCGCCGCCCCCCCCCCCCCTTGTGAATGAATAAGGGGTACTTGTACCCCTACCCATTCACTAAAGGGTTAAATCAAATAGTAAGTCACAAGACCAGACTTTTGATAAAATCCTTTATTTAAAAAAAAATAAAAAAACATGCCGTTTTTGACTATTCCTTTAATATAAAAAAAAAGGCTCCATCGATGTAATCCTGCGTCAATCTCGATGCAGGAACCCCGCCGCCATAAACAAAAAGCCCCGCCGCACGACGCCCGTCTGACCGCAACGACGATCCGCCGCAGAGTGACATTGCTGATCGTATGTCTCCAGATGGGCGGAGCGAGCCGTGACGTCATGGCTTGCTCCACCCATTTGACATTCTCACCTGTCATGCTACATTCGAGTTCCCGAATGCTATGTAGCATGACAGGCTTAGTAAATCAACGCCATAGCCTCATTCTGTAAGAGGAACCACAAAAAATTCTACCAATACATAAACAGTAAAATGGCAAGAAAGTAGCAGATAGGCCCAATAAAAGGACAAAAACGGGAAGTTAGTCACCAACGACAGGGAGAGGGCGGAGGTGTTCAATAATTTTTTCTCCTCAGTATACACTCAGGAGAAAGACGGGTTTAATGTACATAAGAAAACACATAGTTCATCACAAAATATACCTCAGTGGTTGATGGAAACTGGGGTACAACATAGACTTAAACTACTTAAGGCAAATAAAGCATTAGGACCATATAACCTGCACCCCAAGGTACTTAAAGAACTAAGCCAGGTTATAACGAGACCGTTATTCCTCATTTTTAAGGACCCCTTAATGACTGGTGGAGTACCAAGCGACTGGCGGAAGGCTACGGTAGTACCAATATTCAAAAAGGGGTCCTGATGCCATCCTGAGAACTACAGACCAGTTAGTCTTACATTGTAGACCACAGACTGAATAATAGGTTGCAGTGCCAGGCTGCTGTAAACAAAGTAGAGTCCTGTATTAAGAAGGGAATGTATTGCAGGGACAAGTCTATAATTATGCCACTTTACACATCACTGGTTCGGCCTCATATGGAGTATGCAGTCCAGTTTTGGGCACCAGTCCACAGAATGAATGTCCTTGAGCTGAAAAGAGTCCAGAGGAGGGCAACTAAACTCATTAAGGGGATGGAGGACCAGAGCTATGAGACAAGGCTACTAAACTTAAATATGTTCTCGTTGGAAGTAAGGAGATTAAGGGGGGGCATGATTGTCATGTACAAAATGTTTAACGGCCATAGCAACATTAGCAACAAACTCTTTACGATTAACTCCATAACAAAGACTAGAGGCCACCACCTAAAACTGGTGGAGAAAACATTTCAGCACAAGGGGAGAAGGGGGTTTTTCTCAGAGTGGTTAGGGTCTGGAACTCGTTGCCACAGGCACTGATTTTGCTAAGAGTGTGGAATCGTTCAAGAAGCTTTCGGACGATTTCCTTTAGGGACCGTAATATACAGGGGTAAAGGAACTATTAAAAATGTGATCACACGGGGACTTACATACATACGCACACATCAGTAGAACCATATATATGCACACAATAGGTTGCACTTGATGGACAACCTCTATTCAACCTCAAATACTATGTAACTATGTAACATTCAAAACCTAGAACACACCAAAAATCTCTCTTGGAGTTTGCAACATTTGAAGAGTAGAATGCACCAAAAACCTTTCCCTGGACTTCGGAGCTAAAAAATAAATACAATCACTCTCTTCAGCTGCTGAGACGGGTGAAAGAAAACCTTGTGTAATCTCCAAACTGACCTACCAGAGCTTATACAGGTTTATAGACCTCTTTCCAAGCGCAATGTGACCTTGCCCCATGGCCAAAGGAAAGCATAACTTAAATAGCAGCAGGTGAGAATAACCATCATTCTAGAAGTAGATCAATAGCATTTTTTGTTGTTACAATTTATTTTAAGGGTAAAAGTTAAAAGAAGGCCTTGAAATACATGCAGCCACTGTAATCTACATGCACATGGCTTCTGTTTTTAACCTGGCATAGCTGTAAGGCACCAGGCTACATTTGTGTTTAAAACCTCCTTCTTCCTGCCTAAATTCTAGCAACCTATAACACTTCGCCAAGTACACAATAATACCCTAGTCAAAATTCTCACAATTCACCTTAAGTCTTCCACAACCAGTTGGGTACTAGCAAAATAATCTCACTTGAGGAAGCAAAAGCCTTTGACTCCCTGCTAGGCACCTTAGAGAGCACAGGAATCTCCCTCTGGATCATAAGCTGGCAAGGCCTGCAGCGCCACTGCTCATGCGCCTGTGATCTACCATTCCATGTGTGTATGTAAGAGGAGTCAGATAGGGTATTCACCAAACCAGAAGAACAGTATAGCTTTGGTGACACCAAAAAGGAGCCTGGAAACATGGAGTCTGTTGCACATGCCTGTTGGGAGGTGACAGAAATAAGGCACACACCCAGGAGCTCCCTAATCAAGACAAGGTGTCCCTGAATTACGGCAGTTGGTGCGTCCCAGTGCACATAGGGCAACACAGGCAGGGACTGCAAACTCTGGTGGACAAACTCTCTCAGGAATCCTGTAATGCACAATAAAGAGATTATTGTGCTGGTACCATGCATTGCAGTTACTTAGAAATGAAATAAGTTTTTTTTTGCTTTTGTTTTTGCATTAATTAAATGTGAGGCTAACAACAATTGATCCACAGATGAATGGAACCGAGTAATCTAAAGTAACATAAATATACATACATACTAAACGTTGCATTTAAAGAACAACATCAGGTATACAAAACGTTAACTGTTGCAGTGTGGCTACCTATGCACTGCAAGTGTTAACTACTCATTTTTCTCTAGGGTCCAGAAAAAAGAAGATACACTCACTTGATCCTGCAGCGCTGAGCTCCAGCTGTTGTACGCGCCTCGGCATCCTCACGTCTAATTTAGGTGAATGGACTGCATTTGACATGATGACATCAGGAGGGATCCGACTGCCGGAGCCCAGAGGAGACGAGGCGGGGGGGACCAGT